TTTTATTTAACTTAGATCAAATGAGTAAACCACGATAAAACCTAAGAGTGTAGATTTAAAGACTTGAACTAACCGATATAAAATTTGAATAAATTAGTGATTGAGAGATGACTTATTTGTAAAATCTTATGCGTAGAATTAAGGAGAAGGTTGCTAGAAGAAAGATATGACACTATTTAAGAACCACTCCATGAACTCAAGAGAGAGACAGTGAGTGAAGTCAGTTGTTCAGATTTACCTAAGTAAGTTTAGTCCAACAACATGCTACAACATTCATTATAACATACCTCAGAATTGGAGATTCGTATAGCTCAGCCTTACTTTCTTATTTTATTATTTATTGTTTATTGTTTATACATTTGTGTAAATAAATTTCTAAAACAACTCTGCGAAGACATTATCTCATTTTCATATGAAACAATCAGCTGGCTTGTGTGAAAAAACAATATAAAGGGGCACGTGCCAATTTGTGATTGGTCGAAATTTATCCCTCGACAAATCCTTTGACAAATCTAGGAAGTAAATTAAAAGTTGACATATATAGCTCTAGTTTCTTCTAATAAGCAGATATAGAACTATAAATAGGGTTATAATTTCTACTAAACAAACTAATATCTTATATAATGTGGTTTGTTATATTTTAATAATCAATATTACTTTATTTGAACATTAGACATAAAAAGAAATATATTTAATTAATATAAAAGAATCTAAGATTATATTTATATGAACTATGCCCATCTGACATGAAGTTGTAGATCTGTAATGGAGTATGAGAAATATTTGAGTGGAACAGTAGTGTAGAATAATCTAAATCAAGATGACTCTGACATAAATTTTTTCATGTATTGTTTTATAAATTCAACCAATAAAATTAAAGCTAAATTATATATAATATCCGTGAACTAGAGGATTGGTTTCAATTATACTATTGTCATTTCAAAACTTTCACTTTAACAATAACATTTTAATTATTTATGTTATCTAATTTTTTTATAGACTCCTACGTGAAAATCAAATAAAAATTTGACTTGCCAAGTAGGTTGCAGTTTAGATGTTAAATATTGGAGAGAAAAAAATAAAAAATAAAAAAGTGCTAATTATTTTTGTATACTTTTATATCCATCCCATATAGAATCAATCGACAAAAACAATATCAAAAAAAAATTGTAATAAAATATATCTCCGACTAAAAAGTAATGAGTTCGAACCCTCACCTCCACATGTTGTGTACAAATAGCCATTCACTTTTCATATCATCAAAAGAGAAGAGGACCGGACTAGTGTAGACTACCAATTTATGTGACGTCATAGACCCTAGAAAGGGCTTTATTGTTATTTTTTAAAAAATAATTTACTAGCTTAAAGAGTTAAAATGAAATTGTTAATTGAAACCAATCCTAATTATAGTTCATAGCCTCAAAAGTCTTTAATGGGCCAACAAAATCGACTTGGTTTTCTCACATTTTTCTCTTCAGGACTTTGTGGCGCCTATCTTCTACTTAATTACAAAGTTTATGTCCTGACAATACCATTTTGCATCTATTTCATCAGTCTCATTTTCTACTTATTACAAAGTCTTTTATATCCTAACAACGGTTTTTTTTAATATTGTTGTAAATGAAACTTATTTTAAAAATATAGTTGTTTAATTAAAAATATTAAAACTATTGTAGATTTTGAAACTTATTTTAAAAATATTGTAGTTTTAAAAAACTGAAGGTCAGTCGACGACCATTTAGACGTGGCGCCACGTAATTTTTGTTTTTAAATTTGAACATTGAGATGGTCGTCGACCACCCGATCAGTTCATTTCTGGAAAAAAAAAGTATAATATTTTATTTATATATTATTTAGTAGCTTTATTTCAAAAGATTCCTTAGTGGTATAGTGGGTGTAATGTTGCTTAATATCTCTTTCATCTTAGGTTTGGGTCAAGCATCTTTTAAGAGACGACCAACTTTCAATTTTTTAAAACTACAATATTTTTAAAATAAGTTTCAAAATCTACAATATTTTTAATTAAACAACTATATTTTTAAAATAAATTTGATTTACAACAATATTAAAAAAAAAACCCTAACAACGCTATTCCATCTATTCTATCCCTGTCGTAGGTGTAGGGTTGGTTGAAAAAATGACTATTACCACTTTCTTTCCTTATATTTCTATTATTAGTCTTTAAATTTTAAGGTTTTATTTTTGTCTCTAAATAATATAAAAAATAATAAGTTTTGTCTTTGTTATTGTTTTTCTATAAATTATTTAACACTGACTTTTCATGACATATAAAAATAAGAACTTGGGTGGAACAATCCTGTAAAATAATCAAATGAAGATGACTCAATGTTTTATAAATCCAGCAAATAAAGTGAAAGGATAAATTATATAAAATATCGTATAAATAATATAGTTTTATTTCAATTATGTCCTTATCATTTCAAAAGTTTCATTTTAACCCTTTATCTTTTAGTTAAATTATTAAAAAAAGACAAAAATAATCTTGGTAGCTATTATTCTTCAATACTTCTCACCCGTCTCACAATCAAAAGAACAAAAAAATAGGGTTAGTGTTTAAAAATGTCAAAGAAATAGAATTAATTGAATTTGTATATCATGAAGTAGGAGGTATCATTCACTAAACTATTGTAGACAAATAGTGACGTTGGTGACCTCATGGATGATGGACAAATGATTTTACTTTCTTGAAAAAATAACTTAATATCTTAAGATTAATAAATGATAAACGCATATATAATTGAAACCAACCTTAGAGCATAAGGTCATTTTAGGGTAATTTAACCTAAAATTAATGAAAATAGGTGCCTCAAAATTCTTTTGATGGTCCAACAAAAGGGACTTCTTTCATTGGACCACGATAACTACCTATTTAGGATGCAATATCTTACGGGTTTCCTTGACAACCAAATGTTGTAAGGTCAGCAGTTGTCCCATAAGATTAGTCGAGATGCGTATAGTAGGTTTGACCCGAACACTCATGATTATCAAAAAAGAAAAAAAAACGAAAGGAATTTATTTCTCAAATTCTTTTATGCCCAATCAACTCCTTAATAAAGGTTAAACATTGAGTGGTAAGGGCAAGTCCATTTCATCAAAGACTTTCGAAGTCTTTATGCATTTTCTTTAAGTAATTGTGAACAGTTTTTATGTCCTATCATTATTAAATGTTGATGTTGTAGGGTTGGTTGGAAAGAAATAGAAGAATTAAAGTCGTGAAATCATAAAGATATCTTTTTAAGATTAAAAAATGTAGACCATTTATTGCTTGATTAATATATTTACTTGACAATTTTAAATCAGAGTAAAATAGGCCATAATATTTTTATCCAATAAAATAAAAACTGCTCACTACATATTTCGTTAAAGCTAAACACATCTTTTTAATAATTAATGACTTCTAAAATGATTCTTACAAAACCAAAAATTAAAACTTGGTTCTAATTCTACAAATTTTTAATCTATTTGATTCTCATTCATCAATTTTCACTAAAATGAGAAAATTTTGATCTCATTGAAATTTCTTTCTTTATCAAATGCTATTATTTAATCGTAAAAACACTTCGTTTAAATGACGAGTTTGAAATGATTTTTTCAAAATAAAATTTTTTATTCTAATTCCACAAAATTTCAAAGTACTTGATTTTTATTCATTTATTTTCATTATGTAAATGGTCACCAACAAATAAGTTTGATATTTACAATTTTTCCTTGTAAAACTAAAAAAAATAAAAAATCAATTGTTACCATAAACATTCAATTTTATCAAATTGCTCTCATTTTTTTCCAACATCAAATTGCACCTTAAATTGGTCAAGTTTTGAAATTTTTTATATTAAACTTGAAATGATGTTGCAATTTTCACATTACGATAGACTTTTGTTTGAAGTGTGATTGAAAAAAAGTATTCTCATGTGTCAAATGAATTATAGATGATATATTTGGTATGAAATTGATAGGATTGAGAAAAAAATCGAGCAATTTTTTCTTTTTGGTTGAAATTTCTAAGTTTTGGTGGAATTATTTCATCATGATTTTGTTCATTAATCAAATTTAATTTTGTATAAAACTTTATTTTCATCAAATTAGTATATTTGAGTCTTTTCTTAATTACCTTTTGTTAAAATTAGTGGTGGATTAGTAGAAATTGAATAAAGAGGAAATTTTGCAACATTTGTCAAATTTTAGGGTCAATTTGATAAAATTTAAAATTTAGGATGAATTTGCCAAGTTCATGGGCAAAAATTGACATTTTTTTCCTAGAAAAAAAAAGAAGAAAAAAGCATTAAAATATATTTAAAATATGACCCCCTAAATTAAATTTACATTCTTACTTAAGTTGATCTGGTCAGAAACTTACTACTTTCATTTCAATTTTATTTAAAAAAAAACTAAAAATTGGTAATGAAAATGTTTGACTATAGCCTTAGTTCTTTTCAAGGGCCTTTGCATTTAAGCTGATTTTGGTCCATCAACCATCATGGAAAACAAAACAAGTAATCAGAATAATAAAAAACTTGAAATAATAATACCAAGAAATAAATTTAAAAATGAAGTTGACTGAAAAGTTTTCGATGGCCCATGAAAGGACTTCTATAACCCTTGGTTCAATTACACATGTTCCATAAGAGATGGAATTCTAGACAAAGTCTTTGAGTTCGACTAAAAAAGTCACGAGTTCGAATCTCTCAACTATGCGTCATTGACAAAATTTACATTTATGGTAAAATACATCATTTTAATTGTGATTCTAAAATAATTTTTTCAAAACACAATATTAAAAATTGGATTCCAATTCAAGTTTTCTATCCATTCGATTATTATTCATTCAAATTCATTATTTAATTAGTATAAAAAATGAAATTTGATCTTTACAATTTACCATTGCAAAATTACAAAACGAAAAAATGGTACTAAAATTCATTTATATAGTGAAGCTAGCTCTAAACTAAGTTCACACTCGATATTGAGTTGTTATCAGAATGAGGAAGCTTTCAGAAAAAAGTATACTTCTATTGGCTCTCTTATCCATGGTGCTACTAATTCAACTTTCTTTCTCCCAAGTTTCAGCCATAACTTGTCTCGAAAAGGAACTAGAAGCTCTTCTTCGACTCAAGAAAAGCTTTATTGATCCATCTCATCGCTTGGCTTCATGGAAAGGAACAGATTGTTGTAATTGGGATGGAGTGGGCTGTAATGAAACTACTGGATACGTTACTAAGATTGATCTTCGAAACACCAATGAGGTTTTCCCTGCACTTTTCTTGAGTACAATTTTATTAAGTAATTCAATTGACTCTAGTTTGTTAGAGTTCAAATACTTAAATTACTTGGATTTAAGTTGGAACTTCTTCCACCATAGCCAAATTCCTAATTTTTTCGGTTCAATGCTCGAATTAAGATATCTTAATCTTTCTGCTGCATCTTTTAGTGGGAAAGTTCCTCCTCATATTGGAAACCTTACAAAATTGGTCGTTCTTGATTTATCATTTATTGACTTTTACAATGAAAGATCGAAGTTGCTCAATAGTAATTACGTTGAATGGATATCTCATCTTTCTTCCTTAAAATTTCTCTACTTGAGTGGGATGAATTTTTCAGACGCTTCGAATTTGATGGGAGTGGTTAGTTCTCTTCCTTTATTGTCGTCTTTAAGGTTGCGTTCTTGTAGCCTTCAAAACCTCCCTTTGTCTTTGGGTTCCTTGAATTCTTCCTTTCTTACTACCATTCAACTTCTAGATTTGTCTTCTAATTACTTTAGTGGCCCAATTCCGAAGGCTTTTCAGAATATGACATCCTTGAGATCCCTCTACCTTTCAGACAATCAGTTCACTAGCGTTGAAAATGGACTTTCATCCTTCATTGGAAGCAATTGTCGCTTAAAAATATTTGATTTATCACGCAACTCTAATTTTGGTGGAGATGTATTTGGAAGCTATGAAAATGTATCTCTAGGTTGCAATAGATATCATCTTCAAGTGCTTGACTTATCAAATACTAATACGAGAAACAAAATTCCAAATTGGTTAGGAATGTTCAAGCAGTTGCAGTCTCTTGATCTCTTGGACAGTAACATTTCTGGTCGAATTCCTACTTCACTTGGAAATCTATCCAACATTCAATACCTAGATCTTTCCCAAAATAATCTAAATGGAGCAATTCCAACCTCTATTGGAACATTATTGAATTTGAGGAGCTTGCGTCTTGGATATAATAGATTGAAAGAGGTGGGTGAGGAATGTTTTGGAAGTTTGGAGGAGTTAGACATATCGAGAAACTTGCTCAAAGGCATTGTTACAGAAACTCACTTTGCTAATCTCTCTCAGTTACAGACCTTACTGATTAGCAACAATGAACTTCTTTCATTGGACATGAAATCTGATTGGGTTCCTCCCTTTCAATTGAACTTTCTTGATGCAGACTCGTGTATTGGTTGTTTTGGAAGCAAGTTCCCTCAATAGCTTCAAACACAAAAAGCATTGGTTGGTTTGTACTTGTCTGACACGAGTATCTCAAGTACTTTACCATCATGGTTGACAGGACAAAATCTAATTGATTTGTGTATTTCGTATAACCAGATTGTGGGACCACTTCCTACCAGAATTGTTAACCAAATGCCTAATTTAAAATGGTTAATTCTCAATAATAATCTTATCAATGGTTCTCTGCCACAGTCTGCTTCCAAATGGAAGTATTTGAAGGGGTTAGATCTTTCCTACAACCAAATCACGGGACCACTTCCTACAAGCATTGGCGACCAAATGCCCAAATTGAAAAAGTTATTTCTCAATAATAATCTTATCAATGGTTCTCTGCCACCGTCAGCTTGCAAATGGAAGGATTTGAAAATTGTGGATCTCTCTAACAATAGGTTGTCTGGATCTGTTCATGGTTGTTTCTCGACCTCAAACTTGTTGATTTTGTATCTGTCGTTTAATAATTTTTCAGGGCCCTTTCCATATTCACCAGCAAATCTTTCAAACATTCGACAATTGTACTCGAGAAATAACAATTTTGAAGGATCCATGCCTATTGCCTTGAAGAATTCCAAATATTTGTTAGTTTTGGATCTGAAAGGAAACCATTTCGTAGGAAACATCCCCACATGGGTGGGCTATAATCTTAGATATTTGCGACTTCTAAACCTAAGAGGAAATAGGTTCAATGGTACCATTCCTTCAAGTCTATGCCTTCTCTCACACTTACAAATTTTGGATCTTGCACAAAATCAATTACGGGGAAATATCCCACCAAATCTCAACAATTTTGGCATAATGACGGGAAAGATAGAAATAACAGATTATTTCAATTGCGAGAATGATACTACTTGTGCTTTTAGAGAAAAAGGTGGCACACAATATTTGAAATCAAGGGACATGGATTATTCATTTGGCCAACTAATGTTAGTGCTGAATATAGACCTCTCCAATAATTCCTTGGTCGGGTTCATTCCAAGTGAGATAACGACCCTTAAAAAGTTAATTGGATTGAATTTATCCCACAATAATCTAATAGGGACAATTCCTATTGAGATGGGGGCAATTGAGTCGCTGGAATCGCTCGACTTATCTTTCAATCGACTTTCTGGGCCAATTCCTCAAAGCATGTCAAGATTAAGTTAATTCATTATGAGTGTTGGGATTATCTCACAACAATCTCTCTGGAAACATTCCTCGAGAGGGTCATCTCTCTACATTCAATGAAGCTTCAAGTTTTGAGGGCAATCCTTTTCTTTGTGGAGATCCACTCCCAGTGAAATGTGAGATTGAGAAGCCATTTGAGCCGCCACATGAAATTGTGAATCTAGATCAAGAAGATGAGAAATGGGAGAAATGGTTGTTTACATTATGATAATTCTTGGATTTGCTAAGGGGTTTTGGACAGTTATTGGAGGCTTAATATTGAAGAGGACTTGGAGATATGCTTATTTCAAGTTTGTGGATGAGATTCAATACAAGTTCATGCAGCAATGGGGTGGAGCATATAAAAGTTGAAAGAAATTGCACTCACAAATGAATTGGTAATAAAGTTTTATTTTTTCTACCAAATTTATTAGAAGTTGTCAATGCACTTACATTATGTCAGGTTTCTCAGTTAATGTGTGTTTCTTGAACAACAAAGTTAGCTAATTACTAGTTGTACTAAACTTTTACTATTGTTGTCTTGATATATTAGTTATATTATGTTAGTGAAAACTATATGGTGATGATTGAAGGGTTGAAAATCTAGTGTTTAATGGTCGGTGCTAAATTTATGAGACTTTTAAGAGAAGATTGAGAGAATTACAAAATAAGATTTCATACTGAATTCAATTTCATCATCTCAATACAAACATATCATGCTATTTATGATAGAATAATTCTTAATCATAATAAAAATAAAACATCTCAAATCAAAATCTAAAATTAAATGCCAAATGCCAAATCACATCAAATTGATTCCTAAATCATATCAACCTCATATCGGTCGGAATAGAAAAATAACTTTTTAGGAATCTCACATTATCTACAAAGAGTTTACCTAATTCTTCAAATTATATACAATTTTTATGTTTTAATGTAAATGAAAATATTTAAATGTTTAAGACTTCTAAATCTATCCTTAGTTTTTCAAGTCTAACGTATTTTTAGTTAGTTTTATATGTTATATTATTATTATTATTATTATTATTATTTTCAGGATGAAATCCTGCTTCAACTACGCCATTGAATGAGCTCGAGACATTGAAGAAGTGCAATTGCGAGAGCGAAAGAGATATCCAATGAGCTCGAGTTGAAATCCGAAGGTCTCTAATTTTCTTAAAAGTCAAATCATAGGAAGGAAGTTATGTACATTAGTTTAAAATGTTTATTTAAATTTCAGCATTTTATTTTCTAAACATTTTATTATGTGTATTTTCAATAATACAACTTGAAATTTTTCAAAGAAAATAAACTTAAAGGCACGAGGCGAAGGTGATACGCTCACCGCATCTGAAAATCGTGGCTCCATGACTGTTCCATGGTGAATAAGTTTGGGGGAGTGTTTTGTTCCTTCTCCAAATCTCTCTTTTTTTTTTNTCTTCTTTGTGTTTTTGAGCCTATGAATAAAGTAGGAGAAATATTCATGTTAATTCTGAAAATCTTTTGTTTTTGCTAATAGTGAATCTCTTGAATGAGATCTGATTATAAAATCAATCAAGTGGTTTTGCTCCTAATCTATGCATAATGCCTACTACTAAACTCGAGTTTGGAAGATATTTCAAGATTTTAAAGAAAGTCAAGATTTATGTCTTATCTTGGAGAAATTGCCCATCTAGCAAAAGCTTTGATTTTTGTTTGACCAATTTTGACGAAGTTATTGAAAGATGTTTACTTAGTTGGAATAAGTGACATTTCGTGGTGCAAGAGGAAGGTTTTTGGTTTGTTCAGTTAAGTTTTGGTAAAAAAAATCATAAAATTTGAGTGACATTGAAATGGAAATGAATTAGAATGAAATCAATGGAATGAGAATGTTATTTCTTTGATATTATCTATAATAAATTTTATGGTATCATTAGAATCAAAATGCTTTTGATGTTGTTTACTAAAACTATTTGGAATCAAAATCGAAATCAGATATATAAAAATAACTACTCTGCCTCTTTCTTTTTTTCTTGATAATTACAAATACATTATTGTGCTAACCTTTTTTAATTAAAATAATCATGAATTTTATTACTATATTATTGATAGTAAATATTTCTCATTATAACAATTTATTTTATTTTAATAAATAATGAATAATTAAAATAAAATTACATCAACAAAAATACTTTTTTTATTATAACAACCATCATTTAATGTAAAATATTATTAAATTTTATTATTTTGATATTTAATAACAATAAATTAATTTTTAAAAATTTATTGATATTAATTAATAATAACAAAGTAAAATTAAAAAATTAAATATAAATTAAGAAGTTGTATAAATTTTTATTAGAAGAAAAATTATTAGTAGTATAAATGAAAAAAATATATATATTCAAAAGTATAAAATAATTAATTAAGGAAAAAAATACTTGGCTCCTTCAAGGTAAGGAGCAATCTTGTCCTTAGTTATCGACATTTGAAGACGAAGCCACCAAGATCGCAGTCATCCGAGGTCTGCAGCAAAAATTATCGGCGCTTGAAGACGGAGTGTCCAGAGATAAAACTTTCCATATTTGAAGCTGGACAGTTTTGGAGAATTTCTTTGGAAAATCAAATCCGATCCAAATCTATTTATTTTTTTGGAAGTAATCCTAATATTGTTTATTCTTTACATTAAGTTATTTTGGGATTATTTTGCCAACATAGGACAACCCTAAAGAAGGAGGACAACCGCCAACACCCCTTAGGCCACCCGAGAGAGTCTTTTTGTGCAACCCCAAATTTCTTTTGAGAAAACAACTCCTCCAAACGATTTCAAATTCATTCGACAACCCACATAAGTTAAGTACACTCATTATGGTTTCATTTGCCATTGGTTTGAGCCCCATCCAAGCCGTATACAGCAAGCACCCCTCACCCAAAGTCACCAATCTTGTTGCAAAGCCTACTATTTTTGTTGGTAAGAAAATTTTTGTGTGTGTTTGTACTACGAATTGGATTTTGTACATCTTTTTAAAGTTATTTTTATTTTCATTGCATATTCCTTTCATTGTTGAGCTTTGACTCCAATTTGTATATTGTTGTTGAGTCTTAGTCACCGAGAGCATTAGGCTCAAGGTTTGCATCTTGTTTTTTCTTTGTCTATATCATTTAGTAGCTTCATTCTTCCCTTATAGTATCATTTGGTATCATACATATTATTTGTTTCTTGTTGTCTTTGGTATCATCTATATCATTGACCTCCCATTCGAAAAAAAAAAAACAAAAAAACAAAAGAGAGCATCTTTGCATAGTTACTTGTAGGCTTTTGCTTGCTTTGTTCAAGTGTCGATTCGCCACGAGCAACCAAGCAAGCATCTCAAGAAGAGGGTATTCACATAACGCCAACCTTACCCCACCAAAAGAGAGAGAGAGAAGCCGAGAAGTCAAGTAAGGAGTGAAGTGAGAATTATATTATTGTTTTACTAACGTTGTCTTTTGTAGTTATGGAGCAACAAAGGAGATCTCGTAAACCTCAAGGAGAAGGAATAAGTCCACGATGCGAGAATTATAATAACCATGTTTTTAATGTAGCTCATCAAAGGAGGAAAGATCACCATATTATTGGCTACCTTGGGCACTCAATCCCTACACATCCTAAGTTCAATGGAAGTATGAAGCCACAAGAATATCTTCATTGGGAGGACAAAGTCAAGAACATCTTTGCGAAACACCATGTGTCGCAACGTGATCGCGATGCGAAGCAGCCGACGTCTTCTTTTAAGAGTCTCTTAAAATAAAAGATTTTGGAGTCGTCACCAATCATGTTGAGGGTGTGATTGGTCACCCAATTAGACGAAAAGTAAATT